AACGGCAATGACATTGGACTCTACCGCGACGATGGGCTGGCAGTGTTCCGGAACGTATCGGGACCGGAAGTGGACAGGATCAGAAAGGACATGACCAAAGTTTTCAACAGCCTAGGACTAAAAATTACCATCCAGGCAAACCTGAAATCAGTCGACTTCCTAGACATCACGCTGGACCTACGCACTGGCAAATACCGTCCATATCGGAAGCCCAACGACCAGCCACTGTATGTCCATCACAAATCCAACCACCCACCAATCATCATCCAGAACTTGCCCTCTTCCATCAGCCGGCGACTAACGGACATATCAACGGATGAGGAGACATTCCAGGACGCATCTCAAATGTACAACAATGCGCTCAGATACAGCGGGTACAATGAGACCGTCCAGTTCTTGGAGGAACGGAAGAGTGGGAAAAGGAAGAGACAAAGGAAGAGACACCGGAATATCACATGGTTTAACCCACCGTTCAGTAAGAATGTGTCCACGAACATTGGTCAGCGATTCCTGCAACTCGTCAGCAAGCACTTCCACAAGGGTTGCAAATTACACAAGATATTTAACCGGAACACGCTAAAGTTCAGTTACAGTTGCATGCCAAATGTCGCCACCATCATCAAGCCACACAACAATAGTATGCTCCGCAGCGACCACCAGAATAAGACCAAGGATGTGAGAACCTGCAACTGCCGTGTCAAAAATGATTGCCCTTGGAAGGAAACTGTCTAGCATCGAGCATTGTGTACAGGGCACATGTAACCGGCAGCGACATGAAGGAGTACACTGGATTAACGGAAGGGACATTCAAGACACGATTCAATGGTCATCAACATACTATTCGCCACAAGAAGCACGAGACCTCAACGAGACTGTCCAGACACATCTGGAGACTGAAGGATGAAAACAAACCTTACAGTATCAGGTGGTCCGTTGTGAGGAGAGCCGCACCATACTCTAACATCTCGAAGCGCTGCAACCTGTGTCTGGCCGAGAAGCTGGAGATTGCCTGGGCCGACAAGACCCGCTCCCTCAACAAGAGGTCAGAGCTTGTGTCCAAGTGCCGTCATGAAAACAAGTTCTACCTCTGTAACTTTGCGCGCAAGGTCAAGTGAATCTAGCTGGTAGTCCCGCTGCCAAGTGTGTGTGTGTGTGTGTGTGTGTGTGTGTGTGTGTGTGTGTGTGTGTGTGTGTGTGTGTGTGTGTGTGTGTGTGTGTGTGTGTGTGTGTGTGAGTGTGTGTGAGTGTGAGCGCGCATGTGTGTGTGTGTGTGTGTGTGTGTGTTAGTGTGCATTCGTGAGAAAGAGAGTGCGTGTGGGTGATTGGATAAGTGCGGGTGCAAGTATGTGTGCGGTAGGTGTGAGAATGAAAGGATGAGTATTGTGGCCGTGTGTGTGTGTGTGTGTGTGTGTGTGAGAGAGAGAGAGAGAGAGAGAGAGACAGAATGTTTGTGTGAGATTTGGAGAATGTGTGTGTGTGTATGTAAGATTTAGAGAATGTGTGTGTGAGATTTGGAGAATTGTGTGTGTGTGTGTGTGTGTGAGATATAGAGAATGAATGTGTGTGTGTGCGTGTGCATGTGTGAGATATAGAGAATGAATGTGTGTGTGTGTGTGTGTGAGAGAGAGAGATTTAGAGTGTGTGTGCGGACGCGCGTGTGAGTGTATGTGTATGTGAGAAAAGGGAGAGAGTGGGGGTGTATGTTTGTGTAGTGGTGTGGGCATGTGCGGATTTGGCATTTGTCCCCAGCTCTATTCTATATCATTCATGCCGGAACTACTGCTGCATAGCCCCAAGTCTGAAGACTTGGCAACTTCACGCCTGCACCTGACTCTTGCGCTATGATACGCGTCGCCTATGACACCCCTCGGAATTTCCCACCTTGCTCCCCCTTATGTTCTGGCTGCCCGTTTTGGATCCATCAGTTGCCTGATGATCGTAGAGATACGTGAAACTCGGAGTTGTGACAAAGCTTCCAAACTCTCTCTCTTGTGGTTATTGAGTTTATTGATTGAGTTTATTTTTAATTTAAAAAAATATTTAAATAACCGACGAGGAGACAACAGTCGTAAAATAGCAATGAAAAATATCAATTGTGCACTCATAATCATGTATAAACAATTAAAATGAAACAATTCCAGAACGTTTTCGTGTGACCATCATCAGTGGAACATCGTCACATAGTAAGAATCACTAAAACAACCAGTTATATAGCTAGAGTAACATGAAAAGAAGCGTGAGAATGCAGCACAGCTAGCGGTTATGCATAACGCGTGTAGTGTGAACCTTTGCAGTGTATCTGAGAATGGTAGCAGTAGATGAATGTGGCAGCTGTGAGTGCGTGTGAACAAAAACTGGTGAGTGCGTATTATTTAAAAAGTGTGAGTGCTACAACATTTTCTTTTTGCTTGCATAGAACAGGGTCACGTGTGCGAATATATACAGCTTCCAACACCTGCAACTGCTTAAAGAAACGCGCGCGACAAATAACACTAAACCAGGAATGGGCGGTAACGGAAAGATCACCAGGAGAACGAAATGAAAATGGAGGAAAAACGAATCTGAGGAGAAGCCAGAGACTAGCGGAGACACGACTGAGAAAAATGGAGAAGGCGGAACCAGTAGTGGCAGGTGAAAGTACGGGCGCAGCAGTGAACACGTCAAGGAGAAAGAAGCGATGGCATGAGGAGATGGAGATGGAGGATGATGATGGGGATGAACAGGATGGTCAGGAGGAAAGTAAGGGTGAGCAGGAACGGGAAGTGGAGGATGAGAGTGATACGGACGAGGAGGAGTTCGACATCGACAAGAGCAAGTCTGCCATCTACAAGCATTTGGTGTCCAGTCCGGATTGTCGTAAGTTGTTTGACGATTCCTGGTTTAGTGTTATTTGTCGCGCGCGTTTCTTTAAGCAGTTGCAGGTGTTGGAAGCTGTATATATTCGCACACGTGACCCTGTTCTATGCAAGCAAAAAGAAAATGTTGTAGCACTCACACTTTTTAAATAATACGCACTCACCAGTTTTTGTTCACACGCACTCACAGCTGCCACATTCATCTACTGCTACCATTCTCAGATACACTGCAAAGGTTCACACTACACGCGTTATGCATAACCGCTAGCTGTGCTGCATTCTCACGCTTCTTTTCATGTTACTCTAGCTATATAACTGGTTGTTTTAGTGATTCTTACTATGTGACGATGTTCCACTGATGATGGTCACACGAAAACGTTCTGGAATTGTTTCATTTTAATTGTTTATACATGATTATGAGTGCACAATTGATATTTTTCATTGCTAAAAAAATATTTGAAGTTTTTTTTGGGTTGGGTTTGAAATTCTTTATTTTGCTCATGCATTTTTCTGATTTCTTCTCCAGTGTATGATTTATTGCATTTAAACCATTGTGTTAATTTGCCCGTAAAAGAGGCCTGAAAAAATGTTTTTACTATTACAGAGGAGTTGTCTGTATTTCGTGACAAAAAATCTTAAATCTGAAATCTGAAATCTGGGTTTGCCTTTTATTCTCCAGTGCGGCTAATACACCAGAAATCTGGGTTTGCCTTATACTCCAGTGGGGCTAAGGGCCGTTTCACACGAGGTACAAAATCGCGTACATGTCACGTTTCCGGTTATGTTCCCTAGGAGATGGAGCACTTTTGGCGCGAAATGTGAAACGCATCGTGTACGTTTTCACTTTTCAGCAAGACCAGGAGGGGTGTAGAAAGCAGGATATACCCAGCGTTCTACTGACATACTTCGTTTTCCTTGCATTGTGATCTGTCGTCGTGTTTGCTTTTTTTGCTTCTGTTTGCTTTCATTGCTGGTTGCTGGTTGTGCCTTCCGTTTCGGACAATGCCTCGCCAAATATTCTCTGATGACCTGGAGGCTAGACTTATTGAGTTGTGGGCCGACGGACAAATTTCGCGCGACGCCTGCGAGAAGACACCTGAGTGGACTCGATCAAATTGAGGAAATCAAACCTTCCGCTCAGGATGGTTGAATCCAGAGAAAAACTTGAAATTACACTTTGAACAAGCGAGGGCAATGCAGTCCTTCTACGCCTCGCCATCCTTTGCAACCTCTCTCGTCCGTTCATCTTTCTCTCCTTGTGGCGATCAAAGAAAACGAGAATCAGGGAGAGAACATCTCCTTGCCAAACTAATAATAATTATTATTTTGTGTTCAAAACTCCCGCGTTCGCGTGCGGATTCCGTATTTTACGACTTCTGTGCGAGGCAGGTCAAAGCTGCCATGGCAACTGCTGCTTGAAAAGCATGTTGCGACACTCGTGTGAAATCACGCGCTGTGTACTGTGCCTAGAACGCCCATTCGTGAAAAGCCATGTATACCTCGTGTGAAACGGCCCTAATAGACCAGAAATCTGGGTTTGCCTTATACCCCAGGTTTTACTTTGTACTGTTGAGATACCGAATTCCAATAAATCAATACCAATACCAATACTCCAGTGCGACTAATACACCAGAAATCTGGGTTTGCATTACACCGTATTTTTCCGGTTGTAAGTCGACCTTTTATGACTAAAAATAGAAGTAGAAAGGGTGGGGGTCGACTTACAACCGGGATTCGACTTATAACCGGGAACTATCAGTATCTTACCAAAAATGACCGGCACTGCATGCACGAGTGCACCATGTGTACACATGTTGCCAGTTTATTGGCCTTTTTCAAGGATTGGGACATTATACCCTCCAATAAGGAATGTTTACATAATTTGTTGATGTGTCAGTAGCAGGGATCTAGGGAGTGGTTAGTAGTGCTTCTTTTGGTGAAAATTTCAAAACGCAGAATTGAGACCTCCGGATACGGGGGTCGACTTATAACCGGGGTCGACTTACAACCGGTAAAATACGGTACTCCAGCGCGGGGGAATTCCCCAGAGAATACGGTAATCTCCCATGCTCAAACTAATTGAGCTAATGCGTTTGCAATCGTCTCGGAAAACCCGCCTGGACATTTGAGTTTCACGTTACTAACCACTTTCATCTCAAAGTCCTTGGTTTGCGGCTGCCATTCCGTCGGCACGGGATAGCTAGTCATGGCACTGTTCATCCATGTTGCTGTGCCACTGGATGAGGAGGATGCCCTGTACAGCTGAAAGGTCAGTGGTCATCGTCACATACAGCATGGCGAGAAACAAGAAGCAACGGAGAGGAAACATAAACGTGAATTTTATGACACGTAACCCTCCCCCTGGTCGGACGAGCTGCCCAGGGCTCACCACCACTGCCGTTTCTGTGCTGCCTTCTCGATACATACGTATGTACACTGTATATCATGTGCACATGCACATGTCTGAAGGTTTGTCGTTTTTCAATAAAAAAAATAAAAAATAGAAAACATCTACGAGTGTGGAGTGGTTCACACATCTGTCACGTGACCACACAGGACAGCCATGTTGGTTACAACTCCACTCAACCCCTGCATCTATGGGTCACTTGACCATACAGGACAGCCATGTTGGTTACAACTCCACTCAACCCCTGCATCTATGGGTAAGGAGTTCAGTTCCGGTCACTGAAAAGCAAAAAATGCAGTCACAGCTCGCCTGTACAAAGTGAATGGGCGCCTCGTGGCTGCAGTTCGAGATGCAGTTCGAGGCCCGAGTATCTTCTCCCGCGGCCTTTTCGGCCTTGTCGATGCTATTTTTAGGTAGCTGAGGTCATTACCTTTCCAATGGTGCCACACATGCCATGCTTCCAAAAATAATACCTCCGCACTTGGCGCGGATGCACTTCGAAGTACTAATTTCGACCAGATCCGTACTCGGCCCAGCGAGGAACACCCGATTTTCGTGTTCAGCAGCCTCGAATTAGCCTAAACCAAGAGGATTCTAGAACATTGAGGCTCACGCTTTATCGCGGTAGAAGGAAAATGATCACAGAAACCAGCCCACGGCGATTTCCTGGTGGTAGACGAAAAAAATCGAGTGAACTACGCGCACACAGTAGAAGCAGTGACGGTGAAAACGTGTGACTTGTGCAAGTAGGCGCGCACGGCATGCATGCACACATCCTGTATCGCCATGTATGCACCAGATAGTGCAGTGCTGGACGGAAACCACACGGCTCACATACATACTTGCATTTACTTCTGTGACTATTTTTTGGTTACATCTCCTGTCAACCCCTGCATCTATGGGTCACATGACTATACTGGACAGCCATGTTGGCTACAACTCCACTCAACCCCTGCATCTATGGGTCACATGACCATACAGGACAGCCATGTTGGCTACAACTCCACTCAACCCTGCATCTATGGGTCACATGACTATACTGGACAGCCATGTTGGCTACAACTCCACTCAACCCCTGCATCTATGGGTCACATGACCATACAGGACAGCCATATTGGTTACATCTCCACTCAACCCCTGCATCTATGGGTCACATGACCATACAGGACAGCCATGTTGGTTACATCTCCACTCAACCCCTGCATCTATGGGTCACATGACCATACAGGACAGCCATGTTGGTTACATCTCCACTCAACCCCTGCATCTATGGGTCACATGACCATACAGGACAGCCATGTTGGTTACATCTCCACTCAACCCCTGCATCTATGGGTCACATGACCATACAGGACAGCCATGTTGGTTATATCTCCACTCAATAGGCCCAGACAGATTCTGCTCCGGTCGCCTCGATATTTTGACGCAAAATGTTGCTGCGAAATCTTCGATATTTTGCCCAGCCTGGCACAAGAATCTCGATATTTTGCTCCATTTTGCTCCGGAAAACCGTGTATTTTACCCAATTCCCGTACAATTCCGTACAACGTTTCATTACATCGCAGGGTCGGTTTCTCAACACGGATTTCCACGCACGTGTCCCTGAGTTCTTCCAAAATCATGCGGATCCACAGTGAATCCCAGTGATATTTCGGTGACATGATCTCGTCCTGGGCAGTGTATCCTGCTGAACCAAGGAAATCTAAGTATCAGGCATCGATTTTACCCAACATCTCGATATTTTGCTCCGATTTTGCCGGCAATTTCCGCTCTTTCAATTCTTCGATATTTTGCCGAAAGAATTGCCGGCAGGATTTGTCTGGGCCTACCACTCAACCCCTGCATCTATGGGTCACATGATGATGTCAGCCATGTTGGTTCCACTGTCGACATGACATGATCAGTTTTTCTACACAAATTTAGTCACATGACCAGGATGACTGTAATAGACTAGTGACAGTGATAGCTTATGAAATCCCAAGATGGGAGTGAATGTCACGCTGAGCACTGTGCAGCCCCATGGCCCAGACCTGTGAGTAGCCCTTGGCGGACGATGCTGTAACAATTGGCAGATTCTACTCCAAAAGCAGTGAAATTTGCAGAACCATACAAAGCGTATGGCAGGCACTTTCTTGAATTCTGCTCTATTTCGTTATCCACCTGCCAGCATGCATGGAAAATGCAAGAGAAACCACCAAATTCTGCCAATTGTTGTGCCATCATTATCTACCACTACCAGGAGCTACCTGTGCTCACTGGGTCATTCACTGATGCAGGCTGAACTTGAACTGGATTTTAGCAGCTCTGTTGTCAAGATACAAAACAGGACAAGCACCGCGCTTCGGTAGCCATGGACACGAGTCATGCAACCAATGAACTGCAGTGAAGTGGGGTGCACGAAGACTCGGAGTTTGATAGAGTAAAACCTGTCAAGGCAACCACTTGGATAGGGCGACCACCTGTCCTAGAAGACCACTGAAACCAGGATCAAGGGATGCTACTTCCAGTCAAATGACCCTGGATAAGGAGACCACCTGGTAATTTAGACCACGTTTTGGTGGTACCTGGAGCGGTCGTTTGAGACAGGTTTCATTGTACTAGGACGACTTGTCACCGAGCATGCCGATGTCTACACTTTGCATGCGCAGAAAACTTGCAGTACAAACCTACGGTAGTCGTGAATTCAGTAGCGCCGGGGGTGCTTCACAGCTGTAATGTCTTTTGATCACGAGGCGGAACATGTGCTTATCTACCACACATGACAATTCTCCCTTAGGAGTCTGTGTGCTTGGACGATGGAACAAACTGCGACGACAGGTAGGTAACGCATGATTTCAGACAGTAAGCATTTACATTATTTTCTCTTACCGATTCCATGGCTGCAACGTCCAATGTACTCTGTGAGGTGGTTAGGTGGAACACGGCAACAGGAGTAACTTGGTTAGGTGGAACACGGCAACAGGAGTAACTTGGTTAGGTGGAACACGGCAACAGGAGTAACTTGGTTAGGTGGAACACGGCAACAGGAGTAACTTGGTTAGGTGGAACACGGCAACAGGAGTAACTTGGTTAGGTGGAACACGGCAACAGGAGTAACTTGGTTAGGTGGACCACACAACAGGAGCAAGGTGCTTTTGCCGAACAGAAAGTACTTGGAAAGCGGAAAGCCAGTCAGCTAGCGAGGACTGAGGAGTTGTGACGGGAGTTCAGCCAGTCGACTGTACTAACAGTTACTAAAGTACTAGATGGGTATAGCATAGGGCAGGCTGAAACCTTGTGAAGGAACTCCAGTTTTTATAAGCCATCTGGCTGTGCTAGAACGGCTGCTGGGCGATAACTTTACTTCACACGCAGGTGCTGAATCAGCCACCTCCAGCGTGACGGTTTGTTTCAAGCAGCCAATCTTGGTAGCGTAGCCGTAGCCTACGTAGGGGCACACATACACGCCGTTATCTTGGTCGATTCTCTCGCCCCTCACTTCCGAAGCCTGTCGCACCTTTCTCCGAGAACTGCGAGAAGGTTTGCCAGAGATGACGTAAAGGTCGGAGTGCAACCGTGCATTGACGAACTGCGATCTACTGGTACTAGTACTAGTAGTAGATCGTAGTTCGTCCTGTATCTCACTACTCCTTCGTGTGCAGCCTACAATGTAGGTCGCAGGTGGCTGTCTATTCATAACTGCCAAGTCCAAAGACTAACTAACTGTTACTTCAGTAGTAGTGCAGTACTTCCTGGTCCACACTAGGCCCATTATGGAATCGTACAAAAATCCTCAAGATCGGCGAGAAAATTGCTTGGTGTGGACGGTGTTTTCGCACCAGTTTCTGACAACTTTGTGAGGGTGTGTGTACTTCGAAGTACCTGGTAGGTCTGACGGAGTCGGCGTGGGAGCGAAAACTCGGCCCAGTATACATTGTACTGTGTGATCCAGGCATTAGTATCAAGCAGGGAGTACTGCAGAGGTGTTAATTTTTCTACTCCCTGCTATCATGTGTCACCACCTCACTACGACACCAGCATGCACACCGATCCGCCGCTTTACTTTCGCACTTCCCACCCTCCAATACTACAATGTAGTACAGTCGACAGTCATGCTTTGAATCTACCTGGGCTACCGCTAGCCTATGCAACGGCCGGGACCGTGATAATCATTGGGGGGTGGGGAGAGGGGGGGGGGGGGGGGGGGGTGGTATGGAGGTTGGATGCTTTTTTGGGTAGATAGAGGAACAGCGCGATTCTCTGGCAACACATCACTCGTCCAGATTTGTGCTGCATTGTTGCACATCACATTGTGACCTATAGATATAATAGTATTATTTTATGTATCTACTGCATATTATTAGCATACAGTCTAGTCTACACACCACCGGCATGTTTTTTTTGCTTTTTTTAAAATTTCGGCCAGTCGGCTACTACTAGTACTAGTATCATGAGTATTATGTCATGTACTACTATCATTTTCGTCTTGGGGATTAGACAAGGGCAAGTAGCCATAATTATGTGGGGACGTGAACCCGCCTTTCGGCACCCGGGTTGTGTATCCGCACACGGCGCCCGCTACATGCTATCGGAGCAGCTCAGGATGGAAACTTCAAAGTCTGAAAAGACTCGTGGTATTGAGCTCTGCGAGACCTTCTCTGTCTCCGGTAGCGAATCTAGCGATTGTGCAAAGGATCGCTAGGATGAAGCCGATGGCGGATGCCAGCGGAGTAGTTGATGCCGAATGTGGACTGCTGGCTCGTGCCGCTAGCAATGTGTCCATTGGAGCGAAGAAGAATAGCGTGGTGGCGTTTGGCAGCGCAGGTAGCAACAAATCTACAATCTCCCTTCGAATGCTAGAATACCTACATGTACCTGTGGGATACATTCCCTGTGGTCAGTGTGGAAGGAGAAGATTGATCTTGAGTTTCCATGGTTACGACGTGCTGAGGTGCGATCTGCAACTAACCAGTGTGAGGTGCGATCTGCAACTAACCAGTACGGCAGGCAGTAGAAACCTGTGTGCTCGATTCGACAGGTTGGACTTGGGAAAAAGATGAGCTGGAGGAGATAGCTCGCTACTTTCGCCGCCATCCATCACGTCTATGTGTTGTCCTTGTCTTGATGGCATGGATGAATGCAGCCTGGAGATATGTAGTGTGTACGTGCAAGACATGCTGTTAAGGGAACACAGTGTTGTTATGCATGTGGTGGTCACATCTCGACCATGCGCCGATGCATACAAGTTAGTTGTGGAAAGTACCATCAAAATCTGGAGGTTATCGGATTCTCACAAGAGAACGTGAAGACGTACGTGAGAAAAGTGGTGGGCGGAAAACAAGCGGAGGACATGCTGGAGAAGTTAGTTAGTTGCATGCACAGCCGGACATGCTAGCATTGATAGGAACTCCATTATTTGCTGCTCTGGCATGTGAGCTGTACCACAGCGGACGTGGCTTGGCGAAATCGAGCACAGCATTGTACGAGTCGCTACTTCTACGTGTCTTGGAGCGGAATGCAGGAAAACTGAACACGTCGTTTGCCGAGGTGGATGCACAGGAGATGGAGTTGCTGCACAAGCTTTCCCGTTTTGCACTTGCAAAGTTGTCACTTGTGAGCAATGCTGTAAGAGTGCATGTACTGTAGCGGACATGGAAATCCAGTCGATTGACCGAGGTCGGCGCCCTCAGGGCGTACAGAACGCTGCGTGCAGTGCACATGTCCCCTTGCGGGGCCGACAGCATGAAACGACGAGCGACGGCAGAAAGCAGAAAGTCGGCAGTCTGCCGAGAGATCAGGGACCACATGTTCAATCGGCATGACGAGAGAGCCGTCTTTGGCAGCTATGGATTTGGAATCCACGAGTGGAGCGGCAGCACCGACCACAGGCCCCACAGCCCCCCCCCCCCCCCCATACCCACACACACTCGGGGACTCATATACATAGTAAATGCAGTGCTGCTCAATGAAACGCGATCAAGCGAGTAAACACCCCCCCCCCCCCTCCTCTCCCCGCACCTAGCTGTTCACATCACACTATTCACAGATCTAGGGCTGCACAGCGCCCCCCCCCCCCCCACCCACCCCCCCCCCCCTGCACATGTCATGAGCTCTTGTAGCTCTGCATGTACACGGACAACAATTTCAAAGCACATGGACTCTGAGGTCATAATAATAATAATTATAGTTTACAAAAAATCAGTCAAGTATTGGCGTTAGACTGTCTAAGCTGCTTTATCACGAATGGATATGTAGATCTACGTGTTTTAATAGATAGACATGCACATGTATAATTATGACACTGTACACATCAGAGTAAACTTCTCCAGGCATGCAGATTAGGTTTCTTAAAAAAACAACGAGTGACCGGTATGTAGCCGCTACAGTTACAAATTAAATGACTATACAAGAGGCTGGCAGAGGCCAGAGACCAACTTCAGCTGTCCATAACACTAGACAGTACTGACCGGCAATCAAATGAATACGTTCATGGTAGATAGTATGGTTGTCGAGGCGAAGAGCGCCATATCAAATGCTCGAACTTGTTCACGATAATATTATATGCACTGAGCCGCCGCATGCAAGGCGGCACTCCTGCGAGAACAGGAGCAGCACCAGCACTGACACCTGCACCAGCACCAGTAGCACTACTGCCATCGCTGCCGCCACCGTGTAGCAGCAGCAGCAGCAGCATCACCACCACCACTGGCACCATCGTCACCACAAAGCTTCACTAGGTTTTGCAACAGCAGCAGCAGCAATAGCACCACCACTACTACTGGCACCAAGGTCATTACTTCAGCTTCACTAGGTTTTACAGCAGCAGTAGCAGCAGCACTACCGCTGGCACCATCGTCACCACAAAGCTTCACTAGGTTTTGCAACAGCAGCAGCACCAGCAGTAGCATACAATGCCAGTAGAGATAGCAAAGCAACTCCGCCACGGGCCCCTTCTTCATCTCGTTCTACGCCAGTGTACAGCGGTCACCATACAGCTTACAACCAGCATCCTGTGTGTGACGTCACTAGAATGTAGTACAGGGACATAGCCGTACAAGTCAATCATGTTCATCTCAGAGATAGTCGTACACTGTCAATCATGCTCATCTCAGAGATAGTCGTACACTGTCAATCATTTTTATCTCATGCCACTGGGTCTAACCCCACAATGTGCTTTCAAGACTGGCATCAGACATCATTTGACTGACCACAATTGTCGGTGTACCTGCTGCACTGTTCTCCTCAGCAGCAGCAGTAGGGGGGCCAGCGGTGGCAGCTACGTCTCCACCGTCTTCTTCATCGTCGCTGTCGCTGTACGTGTCCTTGACACCGGCCTGCTGCAGCATCTCTCCGAAGGAGATCGGATCGCGGTGGCTTTTCTTGCGGCCGCTCTTCTCCTTCTTGCTCTTCCGTCCGCTGCCTGCCGTTGCTGCTGTGGGGAGACTGTTGCTTGTTGCTGCTGTGGGGAGACTGTTGCTTGTTGCTGCTGCGGGGAGACTGTTCCTTGTTGCTGCTGTGTGTGGTGCTGCGTCCTCTGCACGTGGGGCTGATGTGTCTTCCTTCTGCCGCTCATTGCTGCTGCTGCTGCCACCGCTGTTACCACGGTCATTGCTAGCACTGTTGTTGGAGCTGGTGAAGCTCGACACCTGGATTGGAAGCGGAGCCTGAGTGTATGTGCGCGCACATGTGGACATACACAGACACACATACGCAAACACACACACACACACACACACGCACACACACACACACATGCACACACACACACACACACACACCTCAGACCTCAGACATGCCCAACGCGGAAGCGATGATAGCGAACAGCTATGTTAGACATAGCAACTTGTGCTGGGATTACACCATTCAACAGCTTACAAGGCTGATGAATTGACCGCCACTATTTTTAGCCTGGTATCCACCACACAGCTGTTTGATGTGACTTTTTCTGACCAGTGAATCCCTATTGTTCATTAATTTTTTTCATTTTTTTCTACACACGCACACCACACTACATACTCCGGCATACACTGGCTGTTGGTAACCACCCAGGAGAATGGAAGAAAAGTCAGGAAGAGTCCGAGAAAGAGAAGAAAGACGTGTGCGACCATAATCGTCGGGAATTAAACCGCAACCTCTCGATTGGAAATCGACTGCACATACCACTGCACCATATGGGACACGCACACGCACACACACACGCACACACACACACACACACACACACACACACACACACACACACACACACACACACACACACACACACACACACACACACACACACACACACACACACACACACACACACACACACACACACACACACACACACACACACACACACACACACACACACACACACACACACACACACACACACACACACACACACACACACACACACACACACACACACACACACACACACACACACACACACACACACACACACACACACACACACACACACACACACACACACACACACACACACACACACACACACACACACACACACACACACACACACACACACACACACACACACACACACACACACACACACACACACACACACACACACACACACACACACACACACACACACACACACACACACACACACACACACACACACACACACACACACACACACACACACACACACACACACACACACACACACACACACACACACACACACACACACACACACACACACACACACACACACACACACACACACACACACACACACACACACACACACACACACACACACACACACACACACACACACACACACACACACACACACACACACACACACACACACACACACACACACACACACACACACACACACACACACACACACACACACACACACACACAAATGCCTGCCATGTCTCATAGGAAGCTACTCTGAACTAACATCGATCACTGTATGTCACTAAAACGGAGATCCCGACCCTGTAAATAGAATAATATAATCCTAATTGTAACATTTGATTGCATCTGTCCCTACCTAACTCTGACAAAGGGTTTTCCGCGAGTGAACCTTTGCATCACCAATGATACAGTAGAATGAGACCTAAGGTCAGCCGTTTGCACAAGGTCTGGTCATCCTTTTGCTCCTGAATTCTAAGAAGATTGAAGCCTACAGTACTTTCGGACGCCAAAGACGGAGCGCCTAAGAACGACCAGGCTAGAATATCACCAAGCACAGCATACCAATGTATACACGGTGACTTAACTGGGCATGGACTGTAGTGCATGAAAACAAGAACGGTTCAGGCTATGAGGCTACATGTATATAAGTCGAAGAGAATTGGTGAGCACACATGCTCATTCCCTGGGCACTGCAAATTCACAACTCATTTCATTTTACAGAATCATTTTCAACGTTTCGGCAAATTGCCATCATCAGGATGCAATCTGAAGTGGAAGTCTGCGAAGGAGCAGTAATATACACTAATTTGGTGTTCTTAGGTGTTGATAATATTTCCCAGGGAATGAGCATGTGTGCTCACCAATTCTCTTCGAGTTATGAAGCTGCAGGATGCCTCACCGCTACTTCGTTCATGTATATAAGTGTGTGTTTTAGTTATTACATTTTTATGTGACGGCGTTCCACTGATGACAGTCACAAGAAAACGTTATGGAACTTGACTTTCTTCATTTTTTGCTATTGTTATGAGTGCACAATTTATCTTATTTATTGCCATTTTACGACTATTGTCTCCTCGTCGATTGTTTAAGTATTGTATCAGGATGGGCATCTGAAAAAACCCCTATGTTTGGCTTACCTGCATCGGTGGAGCCAGTATGCTGCCAGCACAGGCAGACGTGCCCGCTCGGCCAACCTGTATGGAGCCGGTGGTTGCCGTGGCAGTGCCGTGACCCCCGGACTGCGATGAGATCCGCCGTGCACCGGCCACCGTGTCAAAGCCGGCGTCATCATCATCATCGTCGTCAAGGTCACCGCCAATGTCCAGGTCATCAAGGAACTGGAACCTATCCCGATACAAAGGCAAAAGAAAGCAACAGAGCCATACAAATTGACGTCTGAAGAAAAGGTCGAATGGTCTCTGCTGGGATCACAGCTACACCATAGCTCAGTGGTTAGAGCATCACTGGCCTCAAGCAAAGGTCCCTGCTTCGATTCCTGGTAGTAGCAGTCATTTTTTTCTTCAGACTTTTCCCTTATAATGTATCCTTGAGCATACAAACAGATAAATCAACGGTTGTAGCCCGGGGTCAGAATGGCATACAGCTGAATGAAAGGATCATTGAGAGGGAGAAACAAGGGTGTCCAGATTGGCTATTACAGAGCTACCACGTTTCAGGTCCAGACCGTTAATGTACTGAAACCTATCCCGAGATAACGGCAAAAGAAAGCAAAAGAGCCATACAAACGGAACGAGGGTATTTTAGACAGACAGATACATCAACGGTTGTAGGGTCAGAATGGCATACAGCTGCATGAAAGGATACAGAGAAGTAAGGGAGGGTGGACAGATTGGCTAGGTGTGAGACAAGAAGAGAGAGGTTGGAATATGGCAAGTGCTGACGCACCAATGTGGCAGTGTTGCGGTGTTGCAGCGCACACCTGTTCTGCAAGTGCAACTCTCTGCATCCCGTTTAATCACAGACAGCCGAATATTCAAGCTCAATGTGGAAAGGCATGTACTCATGTGCACACATACATACACACACACACACACACGCACCACGGCACACACACACACAAACACACACACACACACACACACACACACACACACACACACACACACACACACACGTGACCTACCTTTCATCCACTAGCTCTTCCATCTTGTCATAGATGGGATTGTGCCAGAGTCCTGGGTTGCGAATGTCGACATTCTCCTCCTCCGATACCTGCCCACAATACAGTAAAACAAAACAACTTAGAAAACAAGAATGAACAACTCCATTGAACAAGGAACGTAGGAAGGAGGAGAACAGGGAGAAGAAGGAAGAGGAGATGGATTTCTTTTCCCTCGGAGCCTGAGATTGAATTGCGTGTGCCATTTGTATGTGTTCGATAGGACAGCTAGACGCCAGTCATAACCGTGGATATAGAAAGGGAAAGAAAGGAGGTTGAGCAGTTACAGGCACAAGCTGACTAGCGGCTCTCCACACCTGCTGCAGTGGGTGAAAGATGAAAGTAGCCAATTATCACTGGACGGTATTATGAGATACTAGAGACTTCTTGTTTTGCCTACAAGACCTCAAATCCATCCTAAAGTAAAACCTGGTTTAAGTGACCACCCCACGGTGCAAGCAAAAGCAGTCGTTAAAGCCAGGTGGTCTTTAGAACCAGGTCCCACAGTGTCTGTGTAGAACTGTCGGTGTATAGAAAGACGGTCGTTAAGAGCAGGTGGTCGCTAAACCCAGAGGTCGCTTACACCTGGTTTTACTGTATATTGCCGTAAATGTGAAACACAATTTCGTAAAATCTATTAGAATATTGTGCATACCAATGGGTTCCCAATCTTGACGGACCAATACACATCAGCAAACGTCAAACTCTTGTCTCTTTCCCTGTTAAGGCGAAGAGGAGAAACAAGCGGCAGAGAGCAATTGTCATACCTGCACTTTCTTACACACACTTTCTTACTACAAATACCTCAGTACAAGGGCACAGAATGTGTTTTTAAACTGTTCGTGTGGGTCGTAGTAACACAGCATTCAGTTGTTATACGGCTGCAGTGTAACCTGTCTAAGCCGACCGATCAAGGGACCTTACACACGGGATCCCCGTGTACAGGTGGTCTCCTTACCCAGGGTCATTTGACTGGAAATAACATCCCTTGGTCCAAGTAGTAGTGGTCTTCTGGCACAGGTGGTTGCCTTATCAGAGTGGTCGCATTGACAGGTTCTACTGTACTTCAAATGCTTGTCACGAGTCTGGCTGTACACCAGGGAGTCGTACTGTTGCGGATATGGAAATCCGTTAAGAAGTCAAGCAGCCACGGGGCGTTGGTCTTGCAGCCGCAATCACTGCTGCTCCATTTTTACAGTGTGTGTGCGTGAACTACAGTGGATGTATGTGCTAAACGAAGTAAGGGGTGGGAGGGGAGGAGGGAGGGGAGGAGGGAGGGGAGGAGGGAGGGGAGGAGGGAGGGGAGGAGGGAGGGGAGGAGGGAGGGGAGGAGGGAGGGGAGGAGGGAGGGGTTGTACTAACAGTTTGATCTGCGGTATAGCAAGCTGCAGACATGACGCTGCCGGC